AGGTTTCCCATAAGCTTAGATTTCAAGTTTGGTGATTAATTCTGAAGTTTCTGCACAGTGCTTGAACAACTCTTCCAGGAAAATAATGCCATAACTGACATACATCGTAAAAGAACTTCCGGAAGCATTTTTGTTTCCAATCTAATTCAATATACTTCTAAGAAATTTTAACCGAGCGTATGCCTAAATTTTGCTTTTCGGGGAATTTTATTAACCATAAGTATCTCTTAAAATTATCATCTTTGCAGACATTTTCCAAACATCGCCTTTTCCACCAAAATGTTTTTAGTTTTGGATGATTTGTACAAACAATTATTATTCGAATACAACTTTGAGAGAACTAATTTGCCTTCTGCGCAGATTTAAACATTAAACATGATTTTACACTTAATGTTATTTTAAATTCTAACTGATTTCCTTAATGTTGAAAAGTAAATAATTTTCTCACTATCTTCTAAGTGTGAATTTTAAACATATAATATATAAAAACAATATCGAACATTACTTAGCAGTTATAAAGCAATACAAAGAATTGCTTATTAATAAAATATACCTTACATCCATCTTCAGTCCTTCATATTGTTTCTTCCAAAATTTTCTGATGAATAATTTTTTCCTCCTTTGTACTTTACTTCTATTCGTGCAAAATACTGTAATATGGAAATGACTCAATAAAAATGAATAAGCACAAAAAGAAACTTTTTCGAATAAACACAAAATAATATTTTGAATTAGCACAAAATTTTTGAATAAGCACAAAAAAACACTTTTTCTTGAAAGCAAATAATAATTATTCTCCAGACAGTAACTTAAAATTTATGAAATTAATTTAACAATTATCAATATTTTCGAATTATCAATTATTTCGCCTTTATATATCGAAAATTTTTATCACCTTAAACTTAAAAACTTATTATTGAAATTAGGAAGTCTAAAACAGACAAAAATGAAAACATCATTCGAAAGCAAAAATAGGTTATTTTCACCATTTTAAAGCTTTCTCATATTTTCACCTTTGTGATTGCTTTGCGAAAGAGCCAGGCGGTCGAAAAAGTAATCCTTCGAGGGACTTAGTTTCCATTTTCTTCACTTAGTTTTGCGTTTTATGTCTAAACTACATGTTGCACTTTTCTTCACTCGTACTGGTTTTCCAAATTTAAATCAACCACACCTGTCCGCCAGATAAATAACTTCTTTGGTTGCTGTTGTAAGTACGCAATTTAAATAACTTCTTTCTTACAAATTGATTTCATGTAAAAATCAAAATATGTTTTTCTTTAGAAACCTCAGAAGCTTAGTGTTCACTTCCAACGTCTTAATATTAGTAATAATATCAATATCTTATGAAATATACGCAAGCAACAGAGATGTAGGATTACTAAAACCATATACGACATAGATTTATGTAAAAATACATCATTTTAAAAATATAAATATGCTTTAAGAAAAACAAATAACTTTTTTATTCTTTCTATAATCACTTATTTTAGTTATTAGTTTACTTGCATATTTAAATTTCCTCCTGTATTTCTTAGCCACACAGCGGTTACAAATTTAGATAATGTCATCTGATTCTCTTTTGACTCAAACATTTAATATAGCTTCATGCAAATCATTTTCTATTGCTGAGTTGTCATCCTAAGAGAAATTAAAATGCATATAAATATAAACGGGAAATCCACATGAAGACAGATAGTTTGACAAAAGAACTTGAATAAAACACTAAAACACAACCAGACAACTTTATTGAGATATTGACTTAAATCTACACAATTCAAGGCTTTTGTGTTACTACTTTTGTATAACAGACATTTTTAATTTTTTTCTAATATTCGCCAGTGCCTCTAGCTAGTAGCCAAATCTGTAAACCTTCTTTTGGAATTCCCTGTTGCCAAATATAGAGGACTTATGGAGAATGAGAACTTTTAATCAATATTTCAGACATAGATACAGACAATCTTAACAGATATCGCTTTCCACAAATGGAAATTATTCAGCTAATTCGTCGATATTTTCTGTTTCTAATCTTAACTTTCTTCACTGTAACCTCAGTTACCACAGGTATGCTGATATGAGAATAATAGCAATTTCAAATATATCCCTTTTAAACTTATTTTTATTGCCTTCTATGTGAACCAGCTTTTAGATTTATGATATTACCTATTTATCGTACATAACTGGGAATAAAGAGATATTTCTTTGAATAAAATAGAAATTCCATTTCTCATTTTAATTTCATTCAAAATATTATCATTTCCTTTTCTTTGTCTCCATGCTGTATCATAATATGTGATTTCTATGAATTGGAATGGAAAACTCGAAAATTTATTTTTTCAGCTTGTACTTTATACTCTTTTTGGTAAACCAATGCGCTAAATCTGAATATATTTTTAATTGAAAAATATTATGTCATAGTTATACCGATTTTCGTAAGAAATTCAATTCCTGTTTCAATTAGAACCCCTCCCTCCACCCTAAATGTAAACAAAATGATTAAAGTTCGTATACTCTGAGTGGAAGTAAAAGTATAGTAAATGTATACAGTATCTAACCGTATGGGAAATATACGAGCACTACCGATCAGTACTCGATCACCAGAAACAGTATTCAGACATGAAGATTGTAGCATATAGAATGTGAATATTTTTAAATAAAGTCATCGTAATTAAGAACTGATAGTAATTGTATATAGTATTTGAAGCTGAAATGGATTTGATTTTATTGAAATAATGAGTATTTTCGATCTTGATATTTCGTGCAGGTGTAATTTCTAATTATTCAAAATCAAACCAGTGCAGGTTTTCTTACTTGTATAGTATATCAGCTGACCTATTTTCTGGTTGTCATTGCTTTTTAATGCATTAATTACATAAAAGTAGATATCAAAAGCAGGTACACCTTTATATACCAACTTCATCAGCATTTTCCTATTAGATTTTCTTTTTCAAATTTCTTGCACTTCATGTACAGATATTTTCTTTTATGGAGGTGCACAAGCCATTTTAGGCTGTGGCCACTACTAAAACCAGAAGCGGTGGTCATTTTATTATGAAGGCACCTAATAGGCGGCCATCGTTACCTCCTATGAAGGGACAGACAATTTACACCCATGCCTTCTCCGGGATTTGAACCCAGGCTCTTCGATACGGCAGTCAGATTCACTAACTGCTTTCCCGATTGGGTGGCCTAGTACAGATATTAATAATATATTCCACGTTTACTGTTCAGATCATCTTCAAAAAAATACAAGCCTGAAATCAGCTTTTGGAAATATCAAACATTTGTTAAGCACAGGTATTAAGCATCAATTTATAAGGAATTTTTAAATTATAAATACTTATAAAATGAAAAAATTATGAATATAGACTTTTTAAATATATATATATTTACTTATGTAGCATTCGTTAAAAATATTAAAATGTTGTATTTATAAATGTCACCACTCACCAATTAAAATTGCATAAATTTTAGAGATTTTATTTAAAGTTAAATAAAATATAAAAATCTTAGTTCGTTTTAAGCGTTAAATAATTTTATCCTCTTGAATAACTGTTATAAATTTTCTCTAAGAATTCTGCCTCCAGGGGTGACTGATATCATCTACAATTATGGGTTTTCGTTTTAGAGAGATAAGAGTGGAACATTCTAACATTTAGAGTGAAATTACAGTAATTTTATTTATACAGTAATTATAGTAGATTCTTCATTAATCGGGGTAATGTTAGGGATGACGTTCGTGGTTAACTTAAAATCGTGGTTAAAAAATACAGGAAAAAAGAATAACCTATATTTCAACAAGTTGAAAACTACCATTAACATTTCATCTACATTTTTAAGCAGTTAAATTTGGAAAATTAGTTTCTGTGGTTATGTAAATTGAATCGCAATTCAAAACAATAAGAATGCACTTGGAAATAGAAAGGAAAAAAAAGCAATATTTTTGTTTTTATTACTCTTGCATATCAACTGGTGTCGAAGGAAAACTGAGGATTAATAGCTGCGTATTTAATTTACTCTTTCAATTTAGTATTTATTTTAATGGATGATTTACCAATATTTATATATTACGGATTTTGTACAATTAAATTACGTATAGTTTGTGGGCAAAAACAATTGATAAATACTGTCATATAATTTGCTATCACTGCTGTTATCGCAAGCATTTTCTACTCTTTTTTGCATTTTTTCAGTCAAACATTGCTTTATTTTTTCTGTTTTTGTGATATTAATTTTTCCATCATTCCAGAATAAATAAACGTAAACGCTTTTGACAAAGACCGGTTAATTTACAATTCGGTTAACCTGCAACCCGGTTAACATGCCTGCTGGTCTTCGTGAGTAATCTATATTTATTTCGTTTGCTGGTCATAATTAGAAAATTGTTCCTAACGGTCTACTAATAACAATAGTATACCAGATCGATCTGAATAAAAGACAACGTTTTCTTTTTCTTCCCTTAAACTACTCCTCTCTAAACCCTGTGTTAAATACGCAGCCTCGTATTAAAAAATTATATTCAGGTAATTTATCACAATTTATTTCTCAAATTTTAAATTAAAAGAAAACCTTTTACCGCAATGTATGATTATATAAACCCCTTGATTTCCTTACTTGTGTAATATCTTTAATGTGTCACGTTTATTCTAAGAAAAAAGGTTTCCTTAACTCTTTCTCTTCGTAAATCGCCTTCAGAATATTGGGGTAGTTTTATATCTGAGAGTATCTTATAAAAGTATGTATTTATTTGAGAATGAAAACTTTTTCTTTGAAGTTATTCTGATCACATTGTTACCTTCTACTACCAAATGTGGAATTTGTATATTTGCTAATTTTAACTCTATTTTTACACATATTTCTACTCGATTACATGATATTAAATTAGAAATTCGTCTTCACTTTTGAATTCAGCTAAACAGTAATGGGCAACAGAAAGCATCCTATTAAAGTTACATAGGCATGTGAAAATTTGAATATGTATTAATTTCTTCTTTTCTTTTCAGGTAATACTGGGTATTTTTACAAAAAGCCGTCAGTTCACTCAATTTGGAAAGAAAATGCCCAGTGTGAAGGATGTTTAATTGAATTGAATGCCAGCTATTAGAGCGAGATCCAAGTTTTAAAGAAATATTAGAAAACTAGAAGATTCGAGATTTTTTTTCCCTTTCATCTATTTTTTATTTGGCACTGAACTGTTTTTCTCTCCAGTTTTCTGAAGGGAATAAAAACGTGAAACTGTGAATAAAATCCATCGGATTTTATGATTCGTAGATATTACGTTAGGTTTTGCTTGATATCCACACAATGTAGTAGCCATTCGTAGATATATCCTTAAAGAACATTTGCTGCTTTTACGAATGGAATATATTTACAGAAGAAAAAAAACAGAAAAAATTACCTTTGTTTCCATGCCATAGTGAGACCACACTAGTAGATATACACAGCACTGTAGATTTAGTGGAAAAAAATATGAATAATCAGAAAATGTAAAGAACAAAACAAAGGAACTACTTGACGTTCTTTGTGGTATATATAAGTAACGTAGATAAACTCAAGTTTTGTTTCAGATGAAAGGAAATTTAAAATAGACTAAAGAACTTCCCAGTTGAAAACAAATTTAAAGAGAACGTAGATTTAGAGAATATCTGATATAATCTTAATGATAACGATGATATAAACTCTTATGATTGGCCACATCGGAACTCCAAGAGACAGTGGCTAAGTTTTTTTAATATTACTACTTTTTTTCCTTTATCACAGCAGAAGATGGTAGAAAATACTGGAAAGATAATGATGATGATGCATAATGTTAAAAGTCTTACAACCGTCATATCAGCACAAGAAACTATACTAACATCTGCACTGTTGTGTTCTTCCAACTTTCCTAGCCAAAGAGAGGACTTAAGTAGCTCGAATGTTACTTTTTGATGACGTCACGCCAAATTCTGATGACGTCATAAGCCAAAGAACCTATCCAAGATTTAAAAATAAACACTGGATGAAAATATATTTATATGTGTGCGAACGTAACGATTCAATCTGACCCACAATGAAAACAAAACTGTTGTGAGTTTAAAAAAAAAAAAAAAACTGAAAATGGTTCAAGACTTTGTCCATGTAATCACACATATATACATATATGTTTCGCAACAACCAAAGACCTTTACCAGGAACTAAACTAGAATTATTGGTTTTCATTCAAATGTATAGAATGCAGAGTCAACCCACTGTTTCAAAACACTTCTATCATCCACCTTTGAAACGTATTTTACCCCCACTGCACTTTACCCTTTTTATTTTGGTTTTTACCATTTGCTTAACATTTGAAATGTTTTTGTTTCATTTTGCGAGTAGCGCAGCGGCCCCTGATTGTACAACACAGTGCCAAAACTAACGAAGCTTCTTAAAAATTACATAAAACTATTTCTTTTCAAAGTATTTGAAAACGCTTAAATATTATATACGTATAAATGATCTTAGTCTAACCCCATTTATTTAATACAATTCATTTACAATGTTTTGTGACCAAATTCCAAACTAACTTAAAATTAACTGTATTTAATTTTCGGCTTACATATACCAGTAAATAAGTATATGTGCAGAAAATTAAAAACTTTAATTCGTAATCTTTACAGTAAAGTAAACAAGTATTATATTTTAAGTGATAAACAAAATGTCGGCATCTGTGGTTCATACCAGGAGCTGCTGAGCTAATGTACCAGATGTGGTACACGCCGTGCGCGAAGAAGCCAAGTACCGGTAACGTTTTGTCCGGTGCTCTCTTTAAACAGGTTGTGACACCTGTAAGAACGTATTTTCCAATAAGTTTCATGAAAGAATCTTTAGATATACTTCCTGCATCTTTCTAAATGCTAGAGTAACAACATTGTTATATATAAATATATATATATATATATATATATTGATCTTCTGTATTGTTATGTTTGAAATGGAGCATTCAAGGTTTCATGATTTGTTATGTTTTATGTTTTCTTTTATGAATTGATTTTTCTAATTTTGTGCTTGTTTTAAATTATCAATTATTTGCAATATTTTCACTTCTTTTGTGAAATAAAGGAGTTGCCTATTGTTTATGTCTGGGATTATACGTAATTTATGAACCTGAAAAGCGCTCTACAATAAGACATAGGTCATGAGCGAGTAAATTTATTTCAAATGTCATTCTCTGTCATTTTGTTAAATGATACTTAAATTTCTTAAGCTATGAACGCTGTCTCTCCTCGACTGCACTTAAAGTAATCCATATCATTCATAATTTTAAAAACTTCATTTGTTTTTTATTAAATAACACTTTTAAAGTCATTTTTTATCTAATACTGATTAAGACTCGTGCCCAATAAGTCACAAAATATCCACTGCATTTGTATTGAAAATATTTATCGCTTAATTTGATTACAACAATAGTATAACTTTTACATAAAGTATAAACTCAGTTACAGTGCATATTCAAATATTACCAAAAGCTAGCCTATTAAAGCAAAGTATATTAAACTAAAATTGGCCTTTACAATACTAATATAAATTACTTTCTATTTTCTAAAACTGTTGGTTATTCAAATACTAAATGCATCAACAGACCTTAAATATTAAAACAAAAAATTTGCGGAAATCAAAATTTTAATTTGATTTCCCTAATGAGTTTATCGCAATATCAAAATGGGTCTAATAAAATCGAGTCCACTGAATCGAAATAATTTTATTTCTAACAATTGTTTGAAAATTTCAGATATAAATCTCAAATTCTTAAAAAAGCGAATAGAAAAAATTTAAAATAGCAATCGCGGATAGCTGACTTTTGAAATACTTCATTTTATTTACTTTCTAAAAATCAAATCAAATACTGAGGGATTTTTGAATTAGGGTCGAATCAGCGAATTTCCCAGAGTGTGTTATATACAGCTTAGCACAATTTTTTGAAGTCTTTTTGTTTCTATAATTTTTAATTCCTCTTTGTTTGTTGTGCTATGAATGAGTTTTGAATTCGTTTGACTATGTTCAGGTGATTTTTGAAAATGGATAAAGAATGACTCTTAAATGTAAAAAAATGGCATTCTGCGTGTTCTAAAAAATGTATATCAGACATGATTGCTGGTAACATCAGAGCATGTTCGGTACATAGTGCCAAAACATCAATTTTAAACTATTATTTTTGCTGTCTTATTTATATATTCTTATATATTTTTTAGATTCATTTTATTTATACGGGTATATTTTTCAGCATTGTGTTGTGAGTTATAATTTATTAGTTTTTATCTGTGATATCAAGATTCAATTGAATCCTGTGAAAGTTTTTGCTAAAACGAGCAGAATAACTATAGGAAAATATATTAATTTTTAATTAGCAGGTAATTTCAGTAAAAAGAATTCTTGTTATATAAATTCATTCTTTATAAGGAGTAAATCATTTTCATACCAATGATAATTGGCTTCAATTTTTCAGAACTGGATTCAGTTTAATCGTGATACTTATTACATTTTTAGTACTTTTGTACTTGATTTTAATGTATTGAAAATACAAAAAAATCGCTTCAAGTGGGGAACAATCAAAAGAAAACTATAGCTGAATCATTATAATCTTATTCTCAAAGCTTCGCAAGCAGTTGTGTCCAATTGATTCACGAAGCAAAAAAAAAAAAAAAATCCTCCTGCTGCGAGATAGTACAATCCAGTACATTATCGAAATTCTGTGACAAAATCTTTGGAAAGTATTACTCATGATAATAATGTGCTTCAAATCATCTTGAGAAAGTATTTGCGAAAAGAAAGCAAGTTTTACAAGAAACTTACTTACCAATCGTTTTATCAGATGGACACAACTGATTACAAGGCCATGAAGGACTCAACTGCTTTCTGTAACTTAACATATATCCTTGTACATTGTACTACATCCTTTAGCACAACCAGTATATTTACTGATATATAAATGACACCCAAACATGAACAGACAGTTTAGGATTCTGATTGAGAATTCCTAAAGATTTTGAACTTCCCCCTTTGGCAGGAAAACTAGTTACGATCATGTACGTGTATTTATAACTCATAGTATAGATAAGATATATACATAATGTAGATTTTTTGAACGCCGTTGGCCAGGTAAAGAAAGTAGAGTAGAAGAAAAAAAATGTTTCACTATAAAATATAAAGACAAAATATGTTTTCGCATAAAGAACTGGAAGGTTATTGAGAGCAGAAGCAACGACACATATATTTCGAGCAACAAAATAATCCCATTTTTAATGAAATTAAATGACAATTTTCATCTTTACCTTTGCATAATTTTCGGAATTAAAATTCGCAATTTTCCATTGTGTAATTTTACGAAATTATTTTTCTGAAAATGCCTTCAAGGCTGACATCAACGTTTTAGCCTGCAACGTAAGTACCGCAAGAGTTAATATCATTTAATTAAAAAAGTTAGGTAACAATTCTACTCAGAAGATTTCACATCAAAATACTGATAACGTACTTCGGAAAGAATTTCTACCAGTATTGCCATGCATCTCATTTGTGGTTGCCACCATATAAGTTTTAGTAAAAAAAACTTTTCCATAATTTATAATATATAATTTTAATTAATTTTCCTACTTTAATTGCATTTTACAATAATGTATATTTTTAATTTGATTCTGCAAAACCTTTATACAAATATTTTTCTTGTTTGACGATATTATATTATGACATATAACTTAATTCAGAAGAACTTGAAATAAACGGCTTTTCATATACAATTTGCTTCAAAAAGAATTTTTATTATTGTGCCCAGCATTACATAGAGTACGAGTAATCAGAAAAGGTGAAAAAAAATAAATATAAAAGGGAATAAAAATAAATATTTAATTTTACTCGCAGTAATTTTTTGTAATTTATAATTCTATAACATGATAATTTATTCTAATTATAAAAATGTTACACATAATTTAATTCACAGAAATTTGCATCGTATGATCTATAATTTGCTTCAGAAGGAATATTTATTATTGTTGATGAGCATTTAACATTAAGTAATAAACATAAAATACTAATTTTTAGCCAAAGCAATCTTTATTTATTTAATACTTGTTAAATAATGTTTCGATGAATAAATTAAATATTTAAATTGGCAATGATCACATAGCATATAAATATTTTAGTAGCTGTTAAAGAATTGTGTCTTAACCAAGCACCTTTACGAAAACAATTGTGAATTGTTCCTTAAAAAAGGGCAAGAAGACGCTCTTTAATAATGCATTAATTCGCTTCATAAGTTTGCAACAAACTGAAGACTGATTATTTATTATTTAAAGCTATAATTTTATTAAGCAAATCAGGAGAACATCCAAATGCTCTAAATATTTATTTATGCATAGCATAATTAAGAAAATCTTTAAAAAGATAAAGACCGAATTCTTGATAAATGTTCGACAGTATTTTTGCTGAAAGATATTTTAAAGTAAATCTATGATCTTGTATAAAAGAACTGTCATTATGGTTAAATACGCAAAGAAAAATGAAAAAAAGTCAAGTAATATATCCCCGCATATTTTTATAAAAAGCAACCAGAATAATAACTGACATCAACCCATCTAGAAAACTCACCACCAAGCAAAGTATAATTTCCCAAAAATTTCCTCCGAAGAGTGCGGAGTTTCAGCGCCTGAAACAATTCGTCTAAATTAAGATCAGTTTAAGAAGAGCAGTTCTTCTTTCTCGACGTGCTTAAGTGTCTTTCTCTTGGTGTGAGAGACATAAAAAGACTTAATACAAAAAAAAAATACTTTTGTCGGGTTTTCAGCTGTAAAGAGTAATTACGAGAAGAAGGTTATTATCGTTTCGTTAATGATGCACTTCATAAAAGGTACAGCTTAATTACCAGGAACTGAACTCATAAAAAGAAAATGGTGGGGAGGGTCAAAAAAGTTCTGAAGAGAGAAATTGGAATGAGAATAAATAACACTTTTCTACGAATCTTCAAAGTGCTGAGAATAATACTAGAAACAAAAAAAAATCGTAGGTTATATTCGTGAAAAGGTATGTATATGAAAGATAAAAATTGTTACTACAACATTTGACAAACGGAATTTTGATTAAGATGAATGCCGACTATGTTTTTCTCTGCATTTAAAATTTGTGATCTAAATTAGCATGCGTTTTCCAGTGAGTTAAAAATGTTATCTAAAAATCCTCAAGGGATAATAAATGGGAAAGATTTATGAGGTATCTCATGGTTTAACAAATCACTGGTATAAATATTAAGAAAATGTCTTTCAACGAAAATTTTAATGCTTATGACGGTTTTTAAAACGAGAAAAATAATTATTACTTTTAACGTCAAACAACATTTCTTTTATTTAATGGGAATAATTCTTATTTGAGGGGAAAAAGTAGTATTGATTTAGAAAACAAATAAGTAAAAAATGCAATTATAAAAATTGCTTTTCTCTAACAATAAAAAAAATTCTCATAGCAAAATAAGTAATTATTTGACATTTAAAAGTTTGAAAAATAAGAGAAATAAATGTGTTACTTATTATTCTTATTTATTCATTGAATTTTTTAATAATTAAATTTATTAATAATTAGTAAATCCGAAAGTGCATCTTTCGACTCGAAAACTTTAAAGCTTATTACCCAAAATTCCATGATTTCGCAGAAAATCTATGATAGTCTACATTATCCTTTATATCGAAAATTATGGTTTGGATAACTCAATAAATTATTAAAAAAGAAATTATAATCCATCTTAAATGCTAATGACTTTAGTTAACACATTCAGATGTTTTTATTCGTCATTAATTTAAAGCTTTTTCATTCAATAAATTATTACGCCAAAAGGAACTTTTGTTTCTTACTCATTAGCTAAACTATTATTCACTGTCTTGAATCCAAAGAATTTTTTCCAGTTGCATTAATTAAAGAATTATGAAGCGTTTTGCCCTTCAAATTTAATTTATTCAGAATGCCTTATGCCTTTTTAGTAATGGTATTTTCAGTTAATCAAACGGAAAGTTAAAAAAATACATTGAATATTTGCTTTATTTATGATCAGACAATCTATGATTATAAATTTTTTAATTCTTTTAATTTGTTTTAGCGAACAAACAGCATATTTTTTTATTACCTTAACTTCCAGTTTTCATCTTATTCTACTCAGGTATTACTTTCAGCAATATAAAAAGCTACAAACTATCACTCAAAACATTCTTTGACAAACAAGGTTATCAGCAAAGTTCGCAAAAACGAAAATGACCTTCCAGCTGGCTTATTTAACATACCTAATAAAATATGTTCTAAAAATAATATTAGCTTTCTGAAATTAATAATATAAAAATTGCTATAAAACAGAAACAAGTAGTATAAAAAATTTAATAAATTTCAAGTGAATTTTTATTATTATCGTTATATATAAGCATATCTACTAATGATATGTCTCGATATATTTTTAAGAAACTTCACCAGTGACATTTAAGCATTTAAATTAGAATTTGTTGCCTATCATTTATCATTTAATTCTCATTGGATGCGAGAGTCTTTACTACAAGTATACAAACATTTAATTTATTGCGAAGTTATTTTAATAATTAACTATTATAATGTTATAATAATTATAATTAATTTTGGAATACAGAGAGATATTTGCTATTCAAATAAAAAAGATCATTCGAAATTAAATTATACTTCTCGCAATTATTTTCAAATAACAAATTTATTTGAAACATTTGTCCAAATAGTTCTATTTTTCACATTTCTTTAAAGCAATTCTTTTATATCTCGAAATTATACCTTTGCTTCTGCTCTCGATTCATAAACAATTCGTATATTAGTTGCCATCCTTTGCCTCTTTATATATATATATATAGTCCACCAGTGCTGTTGAGAGCACATAGAATTTTACACACACTGCTCTAGGATCTGGTGCCATAGTTATTTGTGTGTCTAGTGCAAAAAAATAACTAAAAAAAAGAATAAAGAAAAAATTACCAACAATTTTACAGATTTATATTTCTTTAATTTATTTTTATTACTAATTATGGTATTTGTTGTTGTTAGAATATGAAGAAGGAAAAAATCCTGATGAGAACTGTATATACCTATTTGCATAAATGTATATTGTCGTTATTTCTGTTACTATTTTTATTTTATTATATATTGGATTTTGTTAAAAATTCTGTATTTGTATTTGTTATAAATGTTTTACAGTCATATAGAAAGGGCTACGAATCATCTATCTTGATAACTTCTAGACAGGCATGGCTAAATAAGGATTTCCACATTAAGTTAATTAATATTTCAAAACAATGCCATTTATCAATGTGCCAAAACTATTAACATTTTAAAACACTCTATTATACAGAAAATGTCCATAATTGCTTGAGTATATAACGTTGACTGTTATTAAAATTACATTTACTTATTATAAAACCTTGTACCTACTTAGCATTAAAACTGTATTTATTATACAGAAAATGTCCGCTTTACAAGAATAATTCTAATTCTTTTATCCATTATGAAGTTGTTTGCAGCAACTAATATACATAAAAGAAAGTAAATGCAAATAAACCTAACCAGTTTTTAATAACTAGACAGAGAAATCTGATGTTTCAGTATAAGATCATAAATGAAAGTATGACACTGGCGAGTAAGAACAAATTGTTTACAAAAAATATAACAACCTAATTATATTAATAAAAAATTTTTTCGGTTTTCAGAAAATGAAATTAGAATATTTACAAACAGAGCTAAACTATATTTGAGAAAACATGCGGTGGTACGAGTCACTTTGGGTGTAAGTTTCAGTCTTAGAAAATCTTTTTTTTTTTTTTTAATAAACGAAATTTTACACAACATTCTTCAACTGTTTAATGCACTAATAATGCTGTCTTTCATTCCGCTCTTGTAAAGAGGCAAAACTTATGGCAGCAAAAGTATTTAAATTGAAAGTTAGTTGGTGCTTTGAAAAGATTTATAATGAAGTTTTTGATGATTCAGAACCACATTCCTCAACTCTCTCACTCTTTTTTTTTATGAAAGTTTATAAATATGATTCTTCCAGTAAGGACTTTTCATGTTATGCTCTCTATACTAACAAAAAATTTTAGAAACGCATATTATTTTGTATTGTTAATAAATGGCCTAAAAACAATACTACTCTAATTTATTTTCATGTAATTACTCATTTAATATCTTCTTGAGTAAAACAATTCTTTTTCTTTCACCTTTCTTTTTATTCTATCAACTAGTGGTAGTAGCCAGTGGTAGCCCAAACTACTATGAATTTCTTGAATTTAAGAATACATAAAATATTACCTACTATATCTAATAAGTAACCAGCTACATTTCAAGAATGCATTATGTTACCACAATTCCTTTTAAAAAAATGTATAAAAGTATAAAAATATTTAAATAAAATACTGCATTTACTAAGGAATGTATCTTCCATGTTTCACCAGATAATTTTTAGGATGTAGTTTCTCAAATAATTATTGCATCTTCATATCATTTTCTAAAACGCTCTTAATATTCAATCTGAGTTCAACATTTCATTAGGTTTTCAAAAATATTTCTTTTTTGTTATTCAGTCACGTATAACCTCTTAAATTTTCATCATTCTACTAATATTTTATTTAATTTATGTAAAGAATTTTAGATTACGATTATAGAGTATTTCAGATCACATTTTTAGTCAATTTTTTCGACCAAAGTTCATTCACTTTATTTAAAATACATTAAATAAATGTCGATTTAGTAGTTGTATTAATTTAATCTACGTAGGAATGGATGAAATTTGCGAGAAGTTAGAAAGGCGCACAATTTATTGTTTGTAACTGTCAAATTCAAGTAATCTGTAGCCAGACAGAATAAATTTTCTAGTGAGCGACATGCGATCGATTCGTAGCCCTTGACGTAAAAGTGTAAAAGAAAACTATTTATTTTATATCGAGTTGCTATCTATGTGTGATGTTGAATTATTTTGAATTGGTTGTTAAACATATTATGATAATAAGAAGAAAAATATCCGATATTTTTCATTATTCTATATTTGATAGTAGATACACTTTTTACTGAAGAACTTGTAAAATGTTGCTGTCATCAGAGAGAGTTCAAAAAAAAAATAAATAAATGGTAGCGCAGATAGATTTAATTCGTGCGAGGTATTGCCTAAGAATGTGGAGCGAGTACCTGAGGCTGATGACGAATCCACACATTTGAAGATCTGTACAATGTACATAGCATATCAACTCAAACAGAAGTCATTCCTGCTTGAAGATTTTATTATTCTCGTCACCAGATGGCGCGACGGCGGCATAACCTTATTTCAAGCACAGCTTTCGCCTTAATTTCTACTATATATAATAAATATATATAATCTATAGAAATGATATATTTGCATTCTCTGCTTCACATGGCAGCATAATGGCTTGTAACCTGTAGTGAAAATTCGAGCGAGTGTTCTTAAGGGAAGCCTCAGTACTGAGACGTTGGGAAAAATAAAGGAATCGTTGTGTTCATGCTGCGAAGCATTACGCCGTTGAGGACGTTTCTGACACTGGCATGGTTACATTGACAAATACATTTTAAAATGGCTTTATTAAGGAAAAAACTAATAAGAAAAATTTACATTTGCGGAAGTATCGCAGACGATTTAATGAGGTACAATAACCTAGCAAAATAACAATACAATAACATGTCGTCTTAAACTGTGGGTACAAAGCTGACACCTAATACGTATGATTTAGCATAATCTATTAATTCAAATCTCAAACCACACGTAAAAGAATAATGACGAATTAAAATTTAATTGTTAAAGTAAATCATGCTAATGAAAATTAATAGAATTCTAATTGCAGTTAATTTCTGGCAGATTGTATAAGAACTAGAAATTGAAGAAAACACTTCAGCGCTTATTATAAATATTTAAAACGTTCTTTTACATTCAGAACAGAAATACTGTTAAAAGTATCTGCTATCTATTATGTACACATAACAGTCAAAAATGTAGCTATCAACAAACCGTTTAAAATGTAAGCGAGTAATTTAAAAAGCACTCGAAGAATCTCTAGAAATATTGTGTTACATCCTTCCGAGTTTAGACGTAAAATTAAAATTTTTATTATTAATAAATAAAAAATATGTTTTACTATAATAACACTGAAAAAAATTTGACCCATGAATTTTGTTCTAGGGCACGACTTTTAGGTCAGGATAAGTAATGAAAGAAAATTTATCAGTTGTAAAACATTAACTAATTTTTCAAAATTTATCAAGAAAATTCGTATCGAATAACATATTAACTGCTAAAAACTCTTCTAGGCATGCACTTTGCATTATACATACAAGGACAATTGGAATAACAACAGCGTGAATTTAAAATTTCGAAGCTATTGAAATAGCATAGACTGAATTAAAGTTGTGATTTGTAATTGTTATTAAATTTTTATAGAAAAACTATGGCAGAATAGCTATTACCCAGAAGGCACAGCAATCACACAAAGTATCTTAAATCTTACGACCTTTCACGTTAATTTAACGGAGCAAGCAATGCAATTCACGATATGTATAAAACGTCGCATAACAAAAAGACCGCACAGTTTTGCCCTTGTGTTTTGCTATTTGATAGAATTTATATGGGGGTTTTGAACACAGCAAGATAGAATTTACTATCACACCAACAGTAAATTTGCAATTGAAATGTTTACAAAACACAACACTTACAAATATACAGGGTGTTTATAAAGTCCCGGACCCATTTTGATGTTTAATAACTCATAAAATAATAAAGATAGATTAAAATTAATCACATAAATGGTTAGATAGACTCAAAAAGTTTCATGACCCTTGTCAATGAACTTTCACATGTTCCCCCTTCGTCGCACGGAGAATATCAAGTCGGTATTCAATTTCACGGCAGGTACCGGCAAGCATGTCGGTATCCACAGAGGTTATTGCGGTTTAATTCTGGCTTTTAGGTCATCAATATTCGACACTCTCCTCCTGTAAACTATGCCCTTTACAAATCTCCAAAGGAAAACGTCCATAACATTGCAATAGTTGCCAAAAACAAAAGAGAGAAAAATGCAATTAATAAGCAGACGATATTTAGAAAAGTACAGATATTTAGACTGTAAAATGAAATTACCTGAAAAATAACCACATGCGCAGACGATATTTACAAAAATAAAGATATTCAAACCTGAAAAATAAAATAAATAAGTTATTCCATCAATAAAAATGCCATAAGTTTGTTCATATCTTCATTATTTTATGAGTTATTAAACATCAAAATGGGTCCGGGACTTTATAAACACCCTGTATATCTACACATAAAATAAAGCGTACTTTACATTAAAAGAATTATTTAGATCTTTCATTTTATACCATATATAGATTTCTTTTATTATTCTTTTGGTCACCCTATTTTAATTTTACGACTATATACTTAAGTCTTTGCTTTAAATATGATAATCTTAACTCCGCCTGACTTTTTCTCTAAAAACATTAACTGGTAAAATTGGCCGTTCACTACAAGAGCTTTTCGAAACATATTACAAGACTTATCTTCAAAGACCATCAGCTTTACTTTTAGTAATTAGGCGAGGCGTTCCATACTAGTTGCAAAATAATGATCATATTTCGCAGAAAACACATCAATCCTCGCTCTGAATTCTAAAATAAAACATATTTTCTCTTTTATGCAACAAAGATTCATAGCATTCATTATTTCGCGCCATTATTTTGATGACGTTTAAGACACGGCTGCAGTAGAAATAAGAAAAACATTCGCTCAGCAGTAGTTCCATATCACTAATGACCCGTAAGGGTTTAAAAATAAAGAAAAACTATCAGTTAATAAATGGGACCTGCCAGTGTCCCAAACGCCATTTATTAATTTATTCCACCCAAATCTTGTTAGCAACGTTAAAATCGAAAGTATGCATTAAATCCGCTTATTGTATTGAATAAGCAAAATATCTTTCGACTGTTTTAAGAATAAAAAATAGAAGGTATATAAATATTGTTTTTGAGAAATAGCGACAGAAGCTAACAAGAACAATCAAACTATCTAGTTGAATGTTTGTTTGATTTTAAAAGAATATTTAAAATGTAAATCATTAAGAATTTTAAAAAAACAGTTCGTTCGAATGCTTAACGGTTAAGAACATTACGTCACCACCGAACGTAAGGAATGGGGTCATCAAAATGGCGTCCGCGTTACAAGTTACTTGAGTTGGATGCTTCTGTTTCGTTTTATCTTCTTTTATTTCGTTCACTATTCTTTTTGGAAATATCATAGTTCAGCTTTTCACAGCAGCAGTGAGTTACGTGGCCTTTTTCTGGTTGTTTTTATGCTAAATATCTTTTCCTTCAATGGAACTGTTTTATTGCGCAACGCTGCGCGGACGTGTTATCTAGATACCCGAGAGAGTGGATAAAAATAAATATATATAAAAATAGCGGTGGTGGCTGAGGACTTGTTGCTCTGTGGGGTGCCATGTGATTTAGTACGAGCTTAATCTTTTTTGGTGGCATTTTCCATCCTAGTAGAAGCAGATTTGATAATGGTTAAGACGCAGTGGACTAGCTTAAATTCTCATATACCATTATACTTGTACCCTAATGCTTATCTTCTGAGAATAAAAGCCAACCTTTGAAAAAAATTATAGTGTTGTGTGCTTTATTTGTGTCTTATTTATTCGAATTTTAATGCTTAATGAAATATGCAACACATTGCTCTCACTATTTCTGTATTTAATACATCACAATCCAGTTAAAATAAAAATGAGATGAACAAATATCTGACACTATTGAAAATTATATTTTTTTCTTAGAGCAAAACCTTCGAGCTAATTAATAAAAAAACTTTTTAACTGCTTATCAGTACTGTCTTAACAGCATTATGGATCCATAGACAAACCATTGTTCTGGGGTCCCCACAACAATCGAATACAGTGGTCGAATGATTATGCTTATGCGGCCAAGAAATATTGGCCTTAACAAACTAATTCAGTTGAAACCTCATAGGCACATCTCGTGAATAACAATCAGTTGAAGTCCCCCGAAGGGGGGAAGGACGTAAATAAGAAGGAAGGAGCCGTTGTCTCATGAACCAGGCAACTCTCAGAGTAGTAAAGAAATCAGAGAGCACGCTTTCCGAGAAAACCAAAGATTAACTCAGACTAAGTTGTGAAATTGTTATTTCTAAGACAATCCGCTACAAATGGCCTGATGTTAAAATCCTCCGTGAGGATCTCAAAGTTTAAAAGGGCAAACAATGGCTCTTGAGTCAGTGCATGTTTTTAGTTAATAGTTTCTCATTGCATTTCTGGCAGGTAGTCACCTACATAATCAATTTTAAAATCATTGTGCAAATGTTTATTTCTAGTATAATAATGCGCCTCAGTAATTATTCTAAGGATCTTGTTTCGCACAATCTGGAGCCTTTTAAAATCACTTTTGCGGCAACCCAGACTAGAGACGCATAGCCCATAACAGGACTAGTAATGGCGATATAAATTTGGCGTTTCCTATAAAGACCAAATTGCTCTTCGGGTAGCACTTGCAGTTGACAGGGAATAGTACTAGTTTTACCAGCAGCATACATTATGTGCATGTTCCAAGTAAACCTCTGATTTAAATAACTACAGTAACACTCGCAGAAATGAAAAGTAAATAGTCGATAAAATTAAACATATCTGTACAAGTACCCAGCGGGCACAAGCTTTAAAACGGAACTGCTGCTTATACATGTTCTGAAACTTCAGAGATAATCATGACTACGTTATGATTTGTATGGTATTACGGACTAAACTTTATTTACAAAGTTTAACATCTAGATCTGTTATAAAGTAAATGTTTTAAAATATTTTAGAGGAAAGCAAAACTTCTATTAGACGGGAAATTTTGCAGAATACAGTTCTGTCAATTTCCAATCCGTAAAAATTTACAGAAATTAAATAGTAAACATGTAGGGTTTAAATTTATTTTAATTAACATTTATTTTAAGTTTAAACTATCTTTCCTGTCAAGCCTTATTTTCCCCTGGAATTGCCAATGCCAGAGTATGTAAATTTTAGTAGAACGCGCAAAGGATTCAAATTGTCAGCGGAAGTAATCTGAGTTAAATAGAAGGGAAACGAGTTCGAAAGGTGTGCTTTCTTGCTTCACGAGCGTGGAGGTGGCTAGTTAGAAATTGAAGAACCACGCGTTTCGGCCTGTGTGCTTGCCTCGGCAGATTGTTAAATTTTCAACGTAATATTCAGAAGTTTGCTGAATTATCAGCGGTATCTTAGAACGCGGTGAGGTTAGTTACGTTTAAAGAGCCTCGTAGTTAGTCACTTGTTATTATTCTTTTTTTAGTTTCTTATTTTTATTTTTTACCGCCGGGTCGGCGTAGTTTGTGAGCGTCAAGAGCACGCATTTGTAATTTCTAAAGTTGAATAAAAAGGGATTTTTAAACCCTTCTCAAGACTTTGTCTACTTTTCCAGTTCTTAGCAGTCACCACTATTGTTGCGTGCAGGTTGGAAGCGCGCAACATTACATTGGCGCCCTTAACACTTGTCGAACTGAAATGGCCGAAAATTGGATGGAAGTTGCTGGACAACAACAAGAAATGGCAAGCCAATTGGAAGGATTTGGATACCTGGTCCAGACGATGAGAGCGTCAATCAAGCCAAACGTCAATTTCGACGGAAAAAATTCGGTGGCGATATTTCTAGAAGGCCTTGAAAATCACTTCCAGCTCTACCCTGTGCCTGAAAGACAAAAAGTTGCCATCGCCACATCTGCACTAAGAGGACAGGCCTCGCTATGGTGGAAGAATATAGGAAGCTATGGTGGAAGATAAATTTTTATTAGGGGAATTCGGAGGCCAGACATATACATTTGAAAATTTCAAAAAATCGTTATTAAAGGCCTTCCCCATAGTGAAAGATCGAGCAAGGCTAGAAGCCGAACTGTATAGTTTTTATCAACGGGATATAGAAGAGTTGACGGACTTTATTCTGCGAAAAATTAAGCTGACGGATATGCTGTATGGGAAGAAACCCGACGCGGAGATTATTGAAATAATCTTACCAAGATTGTTACCTGCTGTTCAAGACTACTTCGAAATTAGAAACCCAAGCACATTGCAGGAGCTCTTCGAATTGGCGGTCAAGTTTCAAAATCGCAGAATAGCGGAAAAAAGCTAGAGGGGCATCGTATTCTCAAAGTATCCGAAGGCAATCTTCAAATGAGCAGACCAGAAATGCAAACCGCTCTTATGGGGGAAAGAGCTATCAGCTATCAAAGCAAGGTCATCGAAGCTCGAAGGTCAAGGCCCAAAAAGGAAATTTGAAAACAACCGTCCGCGTACCCAGAAGGCAGAAGGCAGAAGTTGAAAGAAAAGCTTTAAACGAGTAGAGGGGCCTGTGAAAGCGAGGGTCCAGACCCCGGAAGTTTTGAAAAAACCCTCAGGAAGACACTTAAATACGGTCATCGTAAAGAACTCACAGTTACCAATTATACAAGTCCTGGTTGGCGATGTACCAGTAGAAGCCCTCATCGATACAGGAGCAGAAGGTAATTTTATGAGTGATATTTTTTTTAAGAACTTTAATAGGTTACGATTATTTAAAAATAAAAACACAGAAATCATAGCAGCGCAAGGACAAACTTGTCATTGTATTGGAAAAACTAAACTATCTTTAAAATTACAGTTCAAAACGAAAGCCTTAAAGTATTAATTTTTGTAGTAAAAAATTAATAATTAATCCACTTATTTTAGGTATGGAGTTTTTAAAAGCCGCGAAGGCCAAACTGAATTTTCAGGAAAGTTCTATCGTGCTGGAGATGGATCGGAGGGTGGTGGAACCAGTGGAACAACCGCAAGTTGACCTTAGCCATTTGAATGACCATGAAAGTCAAGCCATCCAGCAAGTGGTGAGTACTTTTTCAAACTTGTTTTCAGAACGGCCTGGTAGCTGTCAAATAGTTACGCATGAGATACAGTTAACTGCCGACAAACCCTGTAGGACTAAACCTTACCGCTATGATAAACAAAAAGACCAAATCATAGAAGAACATATTCAGGAAATGTTAAAGAACAAAATAATAACGCCCATAAATAGTGAGTACGCGAGTCCAGTCGTACTATGTAAGGAAAAAGAACGAGTTTCCTCCTTCGGATAAAAGGGCTTGGAGGTTTGCTATCGATTACAGAAAACTTAATAGTATTACTAAATTCCCAGTTTCCCCTTTACCCTTTGCCGGTTCTAGAGGAAATTATTAGAAAGATTAAATCTACAAGATACATGACTACTTTGGACTTAACGTCTGGCTACTATCAAATAGCTATGAGACCCGAAGACATACATAAAACCGCGTTTATAACAAAATCGGGCACTTATGCATTTTTACGCATGGCCTTTGGGTTGTGTGGGGCCCCATCAACATTCCAGAGAGCTATGGATATTGTTCTAAAGCTTGTCCTAGGAAAATCGACTTTAATCTATCTAGATGATATAATTATAAAGAGTAGTATCTTGGAACAACATATTAAAGATCTAGAAGAAGTTTTTAAATTATTAAAAGAGGCCGGTATTACAATTAACGCCTCAAAATGCAAGTTCGCAACTAAAGAACTTAAATATCTCGGTTATAAAATTTCGCAAAAGGGTATAGAAACTCAAGATTCAAAAATAAAAGCAATCAAGAATTTCCCACCTCCCACCCCCACACCGCCAAGAAACTTTCTTCTTTCCTTGGGTTATGTTCTTATTATCGGTCATTCATCATAAAAGATTTTGCTAATATTGTTGAACCCTTGTTAGTAATTAAAAGAAAGAAAAGTAAATTCATTCATGTGGACAGCAGAAGCAAATACCGCATTTGAAAGGTTAAAAGAAGCGCTATCATCAATGCCCCTGTTTTGAAATTCCCGGAGGGGGACGAAAACCTGGAAATTGCAGCAGATGCGTCGGACTATGCTGTGGGTGCGGTTCTTATGCAAAATGGCCATCCTTTGGCATTTTTTAGTAAAACGTTGAATCATACACAAAGGAATTATACAGCTACAGAGAGAGAAACATTAGCCGTATTAATGGCTGTACACAAATTTCGAGTTTATTTCGGCAAAGCGCCAGTAACAGTCTTTTCGGATCATGCGGCTGTTGGTAGACTTTACTCGGGGAAAAACCTAACGCCCAGGTTAATAAGATGGGCTTTAAAACCAGAGTGGCTTTAAAACTCCAAGAATATAATCTAATAATCAAATATAAACCGGGTAAGGAAAACAATGTAGCTGACGCACTTTCTCGTATAAAACTGGACGATGAAGGCAATGAACTTAAATGCGCTGTGTTGACTTCAAAAATTTTAGATTCTAGAGATACAATTATTGCTGAATTGAAAGCTGATGATCCTGAATTTGGAAGTATCTATGCGTATTTGAAAGACCCCGAAAGCTTTGAGCACACACAGATATCGATGCGATAAGAAATAGCAGAAAACTATATGAAATAATAGATAATTTATTATTTTATACGAAAACAACAAACGAAAATCTCTCGAAGTACAAACCAGTCATCCCAGCCTCGCTTCGATTAAGCATTTTGAAGGAATTACACGACGCGAAAACAGCGGGTCATTTAGGGGTCAGAAAGGACTTTAAAAAGGGTA